GTTCGGCTAGTAACTGACTATATACTGGAAAACATCATGTTGGTCAGATTCGAGGTTCACCGGTCAGAAGGCTCCCAGGATAGCCACCCTGTTAGAAACCAACCGCCATGTTATGCATTGGCTAATGTAATCATCTTCACAGACGTGGCGAATGCATCAATGTGATGACATCAACTATGTCAAGCATGAGCCGAGGTGATTCAGTGAATGAGACGACTTCGAGTCGTAGAGCTTCTCTACTAGTGCAGTAGCAAACGACGTGGACGTACACAAGTAATTACGACACTTAGCCCACCAGAACTTGCGCAACAGAGAGAATCAACGAAATGCTTCCACCTCAGCGCAATATGCATCATGCCGCTGTAACATCTCCTCCAAAGCAGCCCTGTGAGCTACTGCCGCATCTCCCTCTGGAGCTGATGTGTTCGATCTCACTTGTCTGAAGGATCTCGAACAACGAACACGTCAACCTACCTTTCTCGAAGTTAAACTCAATCAGCTAGCCCAAGACGAGCTCAGTACAGATCCCCCGCGCTTACTTGGATGACTCGGCGTTTTTCGGACGAGGATCTCTGCTAGCGGCCAATTCTCTCTCCTTATGCCGTCTATAGAACTCTAGCCCTCGGGAGCGAGCATCATTGTTTACCTAGAGGGTGTCTTTGATGCCCCAACTTAGGGTGAAAATCATTCACCCTATCTCCTTTACGCGATCTACTCGCTTTACTCATTGTTCCTCTCTCTGCGTTGATTTGCCGTAGCTGCTTGCTGAAATGCCTTACCTGTTAGGTTGTTATTACGACAAGTCGGATGTAAATTCAGTTATCTCATTGACACGGGCACAGACCTAACTTAGCCTGTCTCGCCAGTTTTCTAATGAGTTCTTCGTCGTGGTCGATTCGACCTCTCCCGAGCCCGCCAAATTTTCGCCATCCTAAATGGGGCTCACACACAGCAACATACCTAGCAAAACGGCAGTGAACCACTCAGTTAAGGACAGGGGTCATTCAGAGAGCGAAGCTTTGAAACACTCGTAGACGCAAAGTCACATGCTGGAGTTCTTCTTCTAATTATTCCATCGTCGATGGCGAACGCCTGATGCATTTTATGACGGCAAAGTCCATGTACTCGAATAACAGTTGAAACAGACATTTCATAAAACTGGAGTATATAAAAAAGAGGGTGAAAGGGTCGATTACAAGAGTGTGCATGGAAACCAGGCCAGTCCGTTCCTTGATGAAGTCGCCGGTAATGAACGGCAGACTTGTGAGAACTAGACCGATCTCAGAAACGGCAATTGAGATCTTATGAGATCTAACTAGTGGGTTGTGACATCAGGCTGTTGGGGTGATTGCAATGATGCGCCTCAACTCCCATGTCAAATATATTCAACCTACAATCCCGAATCAGCAAGAAAGAGACAAAAAATATTATGAGATGATGTAAATATCTGTACTCAGATGATAGAAGTGTTGAGCTATGAATGAGACACTACTCCGCGTAAGTTGTAAGTTTGACTTCGGCTGTTCGACGTTTCCCATGCCCCCTGTTAGACTCCACTGAGCCTTCGCCCGTCGCCATTGTACTCTCTGGAAACAACTCCTTCAACCATAGCATCGCAAATAGGAAAAGGCTACCCTGCTCATTTGCTACAACTGGAGAGCGAGCTTCAGCTGGTTGGCAGCTCTTCGGCTTCCTCGAGGTCTTGGTAGGTTTGAGCCCTCGAACCGGCGACATCACAGGCGCATGAATATCACGCAGCCTTGCCAGAGCCTACAGTGAAGCATTCATGACCAAGTCGATACATGAAGTTCGACCAGCACGTTGAGAAGTATTGGCTAGCACTAATTATGCTTTCAATACGAGAATCTAATAGAGCATACTGAAGAGTAGCGCGATTGAAAGGATATTCCACTTGACGAAATCAAAGAGTTCATCCGTCTACATAGATCCAGGTGAAATCGCTTATATCTTACGGTCAGTATGAGATCGTCTAGATTCGACTCGAATCGGCGTGTGCATACTGTCCGATACGACTCCTCGAATCAATGATTCGGAATCATTCGAGGAGTAGTGTCGGACAATATGCACACGCTGATTGTTTCTCTCAATCAGTGTCACCTCCAAGTGCTCGTTATTAGGCGCCGGAGTCGCGGACTGGTCTTCCGCGACGAGGTCGCAGGTTCGTCCCCCAGACGCAGCATTATTTTTCCGATGTTTTGAAGCGCGTCGCCTTGCCGCGGCTACGAAAGCAACAGGATCGTCGGTATCATCTTCAGACAGCCGATACATAAAAAGAGCAAATCTTCCAAAGCACGCTCCATTGCATTGCATCAGTTATCTGGGAGTGTCGGGTGAGACTGAGTGCTAGCCGTCCCAGCAGCGGACAGTGGTGATAACACCGAACCTCTCAGCACGCCGTGCATCCGTTCAACACCACACTGTGGTGACCACAGTCACATTGCCTAGCTGCATACACAAAGGCAATATGTCCCAAATGACTAGCGTGAGTAAAGTAGAACGTCCGGGATAGAGTCGACCCGCAGTATGCTTCACAACAGAAGGATCGCTACTACTCCGGCGATACTTGTCACGCTCGCTTGAACTCGGCCCATACAAACCTGAAGTTCAGGTTCAACCTACACTTTGCGACGACCCACCTCGATGAATACATGGAAGATACAGTGCCTCCTTGACTCGCTGGATGGACAGGGCCCATCCATCCGTCGAATCATTCTTCTCTGTACAGCAAGTGCACCAATGCAACCACATCAATAGCCACATACCTGGCAGCTGGATCGAATGTTGGATAGGTCCGAATGACAATACATATCCAAGAAGGACAAAACGCGCCCAACTTTGACACTCACCGAGCAGTTTGAACAGAGCGACTCGTGGACGTGCCCCAGTGGTGGAGGCCACCTGCTCGGTAGTGTGCGGAACGGGGAATTCAGTTGTATGTGTACGTTACTCTTAAAACGCAAAACGGTGAAACAACAGAAACTCACTGAGTCACGCTTATACCCATTCGCTCGTGAATCACGACTCGTGATACGGAATGTCGGAATTGATGATCACTTCCTTATCTCCTGTCCTTGTGGTCGAATGAACTGGTCTTGCACCTCGTGAGGTTCTCCGCCAAGTTTAGAGAAGAACTCTAGTTAGAACTCTTGTTGAACTCTTGTTAGTTTAGACAAGTCTGCGGTTTAGAGCGAGCTGTGTCGTACTATAGAACGATCCAAGTTCCTGCAAGGAGTTAACAGACTTCAGTAGCATTTGCGAATCCGGATTCTACCCGGTCATTAGTGATTCGTCCGAGATTCCCTCGAGTATTCAGACGTATGAAACGGTCAGAATGCATGGTGAACAAGCTTGTTGACGTCTCGGAGGTCGCAACACTGCGCCGCGTAGTTTGCGCGTTTTGGGAATGCCAGCACATGGTCAAAAGCCTGTGATCTTGAACAGAAACCACATCGATAAACAATACCTATTAGATATCAATCATCGAGGTGCAGTTGTTGGATATGGACGTATATTACGTCTATAACTAACAACTGCAGGCAAACTAAATCACGCGAGTACGAGGCCATGGTTCATGGTATTCGCTGTTGGAGATGACATTGTGATCGTTTGTAGAGTCTACAATGTAAACATAATCAGAACAAACAACCTCTGAGAATAGTAGGTCAAAAAAATCGTGGTATCCTAGTACGGCATTCGCGGGTTCCCAGTGTGTGGAAATTCCACAGTGGAATGCTTCACAGTGCAGCTTACGGCTGGGCCATAATGGCACGCCGGCCGGCCGACAGGACTGCCATCAACCGTCGACTCGCACTGGAAAGGGAATGTGCTGGAGGGAGTGCGTTGTCCAGATAGTTTCCACCAATCAATTTTGGTATATCCCGCCTCGTTGTTAGCTGCGGAGACACACATTTCGAGAAAAGTTGTTCACTTCCAAAATTCGCTCAGAGTAAAAACTGAAGGGCCCATCCACAGCTGGCCCGGCCAGCCTCACTGAGGAGAGGAGGAGAACTGCACCTGGTTCTCGCTGTTGCTCCCAACAATTACCTACCCCCCGAGCTATAAAATATTCGTCGAGGTGTTTGAGAGGATGGCACCCAAGAAATACACTTACATTTTTGCGTGCTATTTCTCAAGCGCGTATGGGGGCCCCGTTTGGGAGGCCCCACCAATGGTGCGCCACCATATCGCTCGCGGTACTTCACGCTCAATATATTAAATATAGTCGTACACTGTACAAGTAAGTATATTCGAGCACGGTGTACACATGTACACGTTGCAGCCCTGACAAAGTAGTCAAACAAATGATTCATGTGACATAAAAAAGTGTGGCGCGAACAGTCTCTTTCCTCTGCACGAGGTGAGCAGTAGAGGTGGAATCCATTAGACGCTTTGTCTTATGGGCCTTGCCTTTGGGAATTACTAGTGGGCTGCCCACTAGAGCAGGGTTCATCGAGTAACTCGCATAAAGTATTTTATAACGATTGAAGGTCCCACCGTGGGACTCCCACGCCTGAGCAGACTGCGCACAAGAGGTATGTCTTTTCAGATCTGGGAAAATCTTAAAGAAGGAGTCTTTATCAAAACCCGCTAAGGATACTGTGTGACTCGCTGCAAGTATTACTGTAACCACACCTCTTAAGAGTCTAGTTAATGCATCAGAAAATACTAGAATGCGAATGAAACTCGATGGGGAGTTGAAAACGTGGGAATCTCACGGTAAGGTCCTCATGAGTTTCTCGCACAAGTCCATTTGCGCCGCATCCCACTTGACCGCAATGGATTGAAGAATCAAGAGATTCAACATCTGCTCCAGGAACCCCAATTTTGGTTGATTAACCGCAGCTTAGATGTATCTAGCCATCGCATTCGCTACCTCTGCTTTGCTCTCCGTTAGTGCGGACCTCGATGAAGCATATGTACAACACAAGCAGAAGTGAGTTCGGTTTCTGCATCGATGAAGCCCTATCCTGCCTCAACAGGTATCGACTTAATTTCAACAGTACTGAAGATGCTTTTAGAAAAAGCATTTTCGCCGCCAGCTATGCTCGTATGATTGATAGCCAGAACGCAAGTATCACGAGTAGCTGCATACTTTCTGGAGGCATTCTCATTTCAGATTTGCTGTATCAAATAGGGCTGACTGAGTTTGCCACGATGACTGACGAAGAATTCGCAGACTTGGTGGAATGCAACGACCATATCTCACCCAAGGTCGCAAGGATCATCGGCCCTAACTCTGAAGAGGGTAAGGATCAATAAGTAATCAGTTGTTTGGGTCAAATGAGTTGCAAGGTATCCGTCTCAAGAAAAAGTTGAGAGTCCTGGCGCCACCAAAAAGCGTAGATTGGCGAGCTGCTGGTGCGGTCACTCCTGTTCGTAAACAAGCTGGCTGTGGTTGCTGTTATGCTATGGCTACAACGGGTGGGTATATTCCACGATGATCTTCATGGTTATCTTCTCTTGTTCCTTCAGAGGCTACTGAGGGTATCTTCCAGATCAAGACGAACAAGCTTATCCAGTTGTCTGTTCAACAAATCGTCGACTGCAGCGCATCTTTCGGCAATGAGTATCAACTGTTGATTGGCTGTGAGCGTTCCGAGAGTCTACTCGTTTTCCTCAGGGGTTGCAAAGGTGGCTTCCAGGTTAACAGTTACCATTACATTGAAGAGAGAGGAATCGTGTCAGAATCCGCCTACCCTTACGTCGCGGCAGCTGGTACATGCAAGACCACTATAACCAGGGATGTACACAAGCAATGCTTGGCAGTGAGTTCATGTATCAGCATCATCGTTCGAGCTCTCTATAATCAGCCTGGGGATTTGATTGGTTGGTGGCCGATCAAGGAAGGAGATCTCGAGGAGCTGTTGGAGGGTGTAGCTCAGCAGCCAGTGTCCGCAATTCTCAACGCTTTCCCCGCGGACTTTAAGCAATATAAAGGAGGGATCTACAAATGTGAGGCCTCGACTGCACAGTGATGTTATCCCTATGGGGGCAGAGCGTTCGTGAGAATAAGCCGGGTGGATCAGCAAACCGTTTCTGGGGACTCTCGAGGGCTTCGCACCCCCGGCTTCCTCTAAAAAATGTTCACTGCTCTCTTCCCTTCCAGCCAACGCCTGCGACAAATATAAGTCATCGCACAGCGTGTTGATCACTGGTTATGGGGAGGATAAAGACGGCACCAAGTGAGTGTGGCCTTCACTGAGGATTACCAATCTGCTCATAGATATTGGGAGTTCAAGAACTCAATTTTGAACGGATTTTATATAGGGACGGTGTCAAACGACGACGTTTTTCCCGGTGAGTTTACTAGCTCGGTTTCTAGAGATGTTATTGAGTGCCTGTAGCATTACAACACTGGCCGCCAAATTCTGGAATCTTCGGGAGATTGAAAATCATGTCCACGTACTTCAAAACCATGGCCAATTCACTGAACCTACTGCCCGCTGGATTGGAACTGGAACAAATATAAGCCGGATAATTCTTGCCATATCATCAAACGATTATAGGTACTAGATCGTGCGATTATCATCATCACTCCGTACAAGGTCACGAGAATATATTTGTAAGCCCAGATAGCTCAGTTGGGAGAGCGCCAGACTGAAGTTCTGGAGGTCCTCAGTTCGATCCTGGGTCTGGGCATTTCTATAACCAAGGCTTTGTAGTCGTCTGGGATAGCGATGGTCGAGCTTTCTTCGATCTATAGTCCCACAGGACTCAGTTCCTAACTTGGCGTGCTCATACTGGGGAAGGGAGTCCCTCCGAGGGACTTGAAACTTTTTTTAGGAAAGAACAAATCTGGGAAAGGTCATTGTGTGGAAGGGACATGGATGACGGAGTATTCGTGGGAAAATGTATGGAAGATAAGATCAACTCCGTCATGTGTTGCAAAGAAAATACTGTCAAGTCGCTATCGTCTAGTGGTTAGGACGTCACGTTGTGGCCGTGACAACCCCGGTTCAAATCCGGGTAGCGACTTTTTTCGCCAACGCGCGCACCACCGTCTTTTCGTCTCTTCGCTTGTCTGTCCCATATTACCCCTTCCTCCCGCACTCCAAACCTCTCTTAGATCTCCGACCGGAGCCTGGGTGTCGGATACTCCGGGG